TATATATAACTAAAATATCGATTGTTTACAAAAATGTGACTTGTAACTATGGTAGTAACTAAATTATAATAATATATGTTCGAATTTTAAATTTAAATGATAATGACACTACAATATATTAAATACTCCCTCCGTCCCGTAAAGAAGTTCTCGCTTTCCTTTTTTAGCAATCCCAAAAAGAAGTTTCCCTTTCCTTAAATGGCAAGTTATCTACATCAAAACAGTGTCAAACAGTGCAAAACAATGTCAAATAGTGCCAAACAGTGTTGAAACAGTGTCTAAACAGTAAAATTTACCCCTGGTAAGTTTATTTCCTTAATATGTGTGTAGGTCAAAGTGTCAACCCAAGAACTTCTTTGCGGGACAGAGGGAGTATTAGACATGTTTTTGTAAATAAGTTTTATTCTAGTAATATAAATGAAAAAAACTGAATGTATAACCTAAATTAACATATTACCTCCGTTCCTTATAACTTTGTCATGTTTGACCGGCACGGAGATTAATAAAGTAAAAACTGTGTGGTTGAGGTTTGTGCAGAGTGAGAATTAACTGAAAGCACAAATTTTTTACTTAAAAGCGAAAGTGACAAAGTTAGTAGGACATCTAAAAAAGGAAAATTGACAAAATTTTAAGAGACAGAGGGAGTATTTGACCAAAATGTGACCTAGTAGGCTAGTAACATTTAGTGATTATAATTGTGTTTAATTTTTACATCATAGTAACCTTCGAAGTTACTCATAAAGTCATACGACGTAATAACTTATTTTAAAATAAATCTTGGGCACCCAAAATAAAAGAACAAGAGCAAATAACGTGAAAGAAAATAAAGAAAAAAATATATATTTTAGAATAAATCCCTTAAAATTTTGGTGTAATTACGTACGTGAGTGCGTCACTGCGTTTCTCACCAAATGCGATCTCACGGTACTTTAAGGTTATTAATCATTGTTTTTGTGTCTTTTTGGCAAAACTTTTGACCATGACAACGGAATCTTGCTCCTAATTCTAAAAGACAACTGTATTGTATATCCTACAACTTCCATGATATATATCCATTATTATATGAAGGGAAAAAATAATTAAAAGACTTCAAACTTTACAGGGCGTGAGCTAAACACCCCAAACTTGCATATATAATTTAAATACCCCAAATTTTATATGAAAAATTATTTTTTTTATCATGGTCAAGTATTATTTCTTTAAAAAATGTTAAATTTTTGTGTTAATTTCATAATTTAGAATATTTTAGCATTTATAAACATATATACAATTAACATCCTAAACTTGCATTGTAAAATAAATAATATCCCCCCACTCTATATAATTGTAGTGTTATTAATTTTGTATTATAAATTATGCAATTAACCACATAAATTTACATTTTTGAAATTAAATAATACATAGCCGTGGTGCTAAAATAACTTTTTATATAAAGTTTGGAGTATTTGAATAACATTTGGGTGCTTATCTCACACCCCTTCAAAGTTTGGGTTATTTCAATTATTTTTCCCTTATATGAATATAGCAATATTCACTCTTAATTTGGCGAGGAAAGAGACGAAGAGGAAGAAGACATAAGATACTTTACCATTTAGGGAACATGTATTCAGGGGCAGCCCTAGGGGGGTGCAAGTGGGGCGGCCGCCCTAGGCCAAAAAAAATATAGATAAAAATAGGCCCAAGTTTAGTTCTTTGTAAGAGATGTGAGTAGGCTGATTTTTCGGTCCTAAAGTAACAATTTTTCGAGTGGAATTTGTTGAAGTTCTTCTGAATGGATTTTTTTTAGCAAAACTTATGATCATGTTTTCTATGAAGTTAAGAGTATGTGAGAAAAAAATCGATCAGTTTAAAGTTTAATTTAGAAGGCACCTAAATAAATAATTGAAAACACTGCTTTTTATACATATTTTGGCGCATTGTGTTTCAATAATTTATTTAACTGACTTCACGATTGCATTTTAAGCTGAAATTTTATGGGCATAATCTACACGTCATGAAAAACATTCTCTTAAATTTCATAAAGAAATTCCACTCGAAAGCAGATTAGTCTGATATGATTATTTGATTAGTTTATTAATTGATTCCATTCATGGTTGTTTGATTTCTTAATTGTTGATTGTTTTCTATTGAGTGTTGGTGTTATAACTTGTTGATTTTGTTAGACAAACATTTTCAAGTATGATAAAATTTATAAACTTAATTAATTTCAATGTGTAATAAAAAAGATTGAATCTGAATACGATAAATACAAAAGAATAGAAGATTAGAGAAAGCGACGATAAGTAAAAAAAGCTCAATGAAAAAGTTTGTTTGTGTAAAGAAGTCAAATTCTGAATGTCCTTCTCAAGATGAGAACACATAGTCAAATTCTAAATATCTTGAAATATTATAATTATTATAATTATTATGCATGTCATTTAAGATAGAAAAAAGTTCTACAATTTTTTTGTAACATTAGGCTCATTTTAATTTTTCGCCCCTAGGCCTTCGAACATACAGGGCCGCCCCTACATGTATTATTGATAATTTTTGTTGGTGATTTTAGTGTCACCGACCGTTTTGTGTAATTGGAAATGACATGAGTGCCAATGGAGATTAGAACTATGATCTAATACAAATTAGTAGGTGTGGAGTGCACACTTGTATATAAGAACTAGTTTAATTCCAATTTGTCTACGTTAGTGGAACTCGAGGTATACCGTTCAGTAGACCAGCTCTGTGGTTCTAGACCGAGTTCTAGAACGGTTGGGCAGTTTCGAGCAGTTTTCCAAAAAATGCCACTGTTATTCTTAAACGTATTGCAACTGCCTAGGACGGTTAATATGGATATATATCACAATATTTTGTACAGAGGAGGTAGAGGAAACATATCCAACACATCCTCATCACTTTGACACTCAAATTAAAGCAAAACAATCCATATACTCACGAGTTTGGATCTAGTTCTTGTGCCTAAGTTCTAGAGTGTCCTTAAGGATTATCATAGATTGAATTTCTTGTAACCCAGACATAGGGGAGAAATATCCATTCGGAAAGTGAACTTATACGATTGAGCATTAATCCAAGTACTCGATTATTACCCTTACACACAAAACCCCAACAATTTTTACTCTCATTTGGGTAATTTCTAGTAGCTTGGTAGATGGTAGTTTACCATGTCTCAAATTGAATTGAAAGGCAGCATACACATTGATTAAGCAAAGTTGAATTTTAATGCAATTTACCAGATTCGGAAAAATCTTATTGGGCTTTCTACCTATGCTATCTGATTCAAAAAATTAATGTTCTCTGCGCGCACATACACGCAAAAAAAATTAATTTCAAATAATCTAGCATGCAATTCTAAAATTCAACTAACATAGTGTCGAATTAACAAGGGAAAGTTCCTGAAATGGGACAAAAAACGTTTGTAAATTCCAAATAGGACTGTCATGTTTTTATTCCCAAAATAGGAGTAATTACTGTCAAGTTTGGAAAATACTGCCATGTTTAAAGTCTGGTACTGCCAAAACATGACAGTAATTAGTCCCATTTTGGGAATTAAAAACATGACAGTCCCATTTTGGAATTTACAAACGTTTTTAGTCCTACTTAGGGTAAATTCTCAATTAACAATCAGCGGACGACCCCTAGATAGCTAGATGTTATAGGGTTTCTTTGAGCAGTTTTCTTCGGCGGTGGTCTTTGCCACTCAGGCCGACAGTTTTGGCGACACTCGTGATTTAGGGTTAAGGCTTGTGCGGCAGTTTCCCTTCGAGGATCATGACCGATGGGCGAGGAAGACAAAAATAGAGTCTAGAAGGGATGAAATGTGATGAGAATGGTCACGAACATACCCTGAAGGCCTGAACGACAAATTTCAGGCAAACTCAACAGGCGGCACTCGGCAGTGTGGGGGACGGGCTATTCTTGGGGGCTGGGGCAGAGAAGGGAATCGTACGATGACTTTGAGGACGAGGTGCCGATGCAACGGGAAGATGCGGTAGGGGCGATTCGTCCCTCTCTTGAACCACCACCTCAAATTCCAATTAATATATCAAAGGAACATCAGAAGACAAACGATTATTTATATTTCTCTCTTTTCAGTTTTATTAAGTACTCTGTTTTTGCCTTTATCATTGACAGTGGAGGTAGGTGGTTTATTTTTTGTTTTATGTTTATGCCTGATAATTTGTTAGGAAGAGATTAGACTAATTTGACCAATAAAAGCTTATAAGCCTCACATGTTTAGCGATTAGCCGCGCTCATAATTGGGTGATCTATTTTGTCTCTCATCAAAAGTGGAAGAGCGTTTTGGCTATACAAAGTCTCATCGGAAGACTTGGTTTATTGTGGTTGCGGGGATGTTACATCGGAAGAGATTAGGCTAATTTGACCGGATGTTCATTTCTTTGATATTAATCCCAGCCTTTTCCTTTTAAAAAAAATGCAATTTACCACGGAATTACCAAAAATAGACCTCCTAAATGTGTGTATATTACTTTTTGATAAGGTTTTTGTCATTTGACTCATTTCTATATTGGAGAATCTCTACCTAACTATTAATGTTGTACGGAGTATTGCATACTTTTTATTTTATCTCCTTTTTAGTTATTTTTTCTATGTCCTTTTATTTTCTTTCATATTTATTCTACCTTCTCATTAACGTAATTACCTCCTACTTTTTTTAATCTCCCTAAAAAATCCTATATGGTCAGTATTTGAGAGATTTTATTTATGCTTTTGAATGAGATCGAACATTTAAAATCTAGTTTTACTCTTAGAGAAGAGAAAATATAGATTACTTCGTATTTACTTTTAAAATGGTGCAAAGGCCTGAAAGGCAAATAAATCTTGAAATGCTTGAAAGTTTATTCATAGACATGTTCTAGTAAAGTGTCTTAAAGTTGGTAGCGCCTTGACAATTGAAATAGAAAGGACGACTAAAGGAACCTTCTGTCTTTCGATAAAACACTATATATACATGCCTCTGGATTCATTGTGTTCGCAAATACATCATCCCAGCTATTTAATTAGTTAAGTTAGTACATTTTTTGTACTTTATTTCTACTAGAAACACAGTTACATTGATGATCGCCCCAGTTACTTAACAATATCCATATACACATAGAGCAATGTACGCTTTTTCTTCTTCTTCCATTTCACCATCTTGCTCCACATTAAGAGCAAGAAATGCGATCGCGACAATTGTCGTTGTTGTTATCGTCTTGTCGAGTGGGTCTTATGCCCAGCTTTCCCCTAATTTCTACGCCAAGACATGTAATGAGCCCCAATTGTTTGCTGCTGTATCTCAAGCTGTTAAAAAGGCCATAGACAATGAAAAGCGTATGGGAGCTTCGCTCCTTCGCCTCCATTTTCATGACTGCTTTATTCAAGTAATATTTTCGATTCAATTCAATATTTGCAAATAAACAACATAAAATCATGAAAGTGGGAAATCCAAATTTATTGTTAAATGTATTTCCTTTTATGCATATCGAAATTAAAGTTTATTTTGTAACATCCAAATTAAGAATGTTGGAACTGGGAAGTTATTTTGGGACAGTACGTTGTAGTATATATAAGATCATTGACTAACAATATATTCCGTAGTATCTTTATTTCTATGAGAAAGAATTTTTCTGCATCAACTTTTATGGATCGATTTATGTTAGCCGACGCCAAATAAAATCTTTTGATATTAATGTTTGGATGTTGTTGTACATACTTTTCTCTCATCCCCCAACAAGGAAATATATTTTCATGAGAGGCTATATCTTTGACTAAAAGTGTGTTGATGTGTTTTAAAATTCCGACTTTGGCACGGACTTTGGCACGGATTTAACGCATCCGTGTCAAATTCGTGCCAAATACCCTACGAATTTTGGCATATCCGTGCCAAAGCTCCGTGCCAAATTCGTGCCAAATCCGTGCCAAAGCTCCGTGTCAAATCCGTGCCGAAATCATTGTTTTTTTGTAGTGGCATATCATTATAACTACATATTACGTAGTATTTTTTTTATAGTTATTAGGAAGGTGGAGTTTGTGATGATCCGTTACGTTTTCTTCTTGTTCAGGGATGCGATGCATCCATCCTGTTGGACGACATGCCTGGTTCACCTTACAAAGGAGAAAAAACAGCTTTGATTAACAACAATTCGTCAAGGGGGTTCGATGTAATTGATGCAATCAAATCGGAGGTGGAGAGTGTGTGCCCTGGCGTCGTGTCTTGTGCAGATGTTATTGCCATGGCTGCTCGTGACTCTGTTGTTCAAGTAACATTCCTATATCAAACTCAGGGCCGTCTAATTAATTTGGAAGCTCCGATTTCAAATGGCAAATTTTGGCCTCCTAAAACAAGAAAAACAAAAATTTTAACAGTGAAATATAAATAGACTAGACAGTTTAATAAAACATACTCCCTCCGTCATGTTGGAATGTTCCCGGTTTGACCTACACACAAATTAAGGGAATAAACTTACCAGAGGGTAAATTTTACTGTTTTGACACTGTTTGGACGCTGTTTGGCACTATTTTGCACTGTTTGACACTGTTTTGATGTAGGATAACTTTCCATTTAGGGAAATGAGAACTTCTTTTGGGGACATCCAAAAAAGGAAAGTGGGAACATTCCAACGGGACGGAGGGAGTAAGTTTTATGATGTTTAAAGTACACAAATTAGAGAATCCAAAAGTTATATACCTTTTGGAATTTTGAATAATACGTGACATCTAAAAATATAAACCAATAACTAATACTACCTCCGTTCTTAAATAAATGCAACATATGTAATTTTACACTATTCACATGTTCTACTTTGACTACGTTTTATTTATTAATGTATGAATATATTTTTATGAAAACATATTGTTAAATTTGTCTCATTGTAAATTTTCCATATCTAATTTTTTTAATTTTTTTACTAATATAAATTTATATATATTAATGGTCAAAGTTGTGTCTTGACAAGTGTGAAATGTTGACCGTTACATTTATTTAAGAACGGAGGAAGGACGTAGCACTACATTCTAAAATTTTGAAGACCCTCTACAAGAGTGGGCCCTTGTGTCAAACACCTATTGCACTTATCAGGGGCGGAGTCAGGATCTAGTGTCAGTGATGTCAGTTTATGAAAGATTATGCATATACATAGAGTTTTTATTTTTTAGTGGTGTCGATTTAAAGAAATTTTTAAAAAATTATATCTATGTAGCACGGAATGACGGAAACTCTCAGGAAAGAGTACGTTTCCCGTTTCGGAAACTCTTTGGAAACTCTCCAAATAAGCTTTTTTTGAGCAAAATTTGACGTTTCTCGTTTCCCGTTTTCTCGTGATTTTCGCGTTTCCGTGCAACATAGAATTATATACATTTTATATAGACAAAAAAATTCAGTGGTGTCAATTGACACCACACTTCAAAGGGTGGCTCCGCCACTGGGGCCACTTACTAAAAGACGGTCTTGATCAAGCTATTAATTAAGATGTTTATTTGTATGGAAAATTCTTGGTGTACACAAGTTGTACACAAAACCCCCCTAGTTGTCTGTGTACACAAACAATTCATTTAAAAGGGGGCAGGACTTGATGTCAAATTGTCTATGTACATGGACAATGTACACATTTTGTGTACATCTTGTGTACATCAAGAATGGTCCTTATTTGTATACGTGTGGTTGTTTATTTACTAACATCGGATGAGCCCAGCAGTTTAGTTAATACTCAGTATTTCATTCACTTTATATGAAATGTTTCTCCTAAACAATTCACAGCTTGGAGGACCATCGTGGGATGTCAAACTTGGACGAAGAGACTCCTTAAACGCCAGCTTTAGTCTAGCGAACGGCACTTCAGTCCCATCTATCCTTTCCAACATTACCGTCCTAATCGAAAGCTTCAAAAAATTTGGGCTTTCCCCTACTGATATGGTTGCATTATCAGGTTTAGCATATACATACTCCCCGTTTTTCATTCATTTATTCCTTCGTAACATATCATTTCTGTTCGGGAAAAGGGGCAAATAATGTTGGGGAAAACACGACCCCCGACCTCTTCCAGGATCACCAGCTCAAAGGACTCTTGTATATTTACCCACCCCACTCGTAACACAAAGATTCAATCTAACAATATCACTTTGTATTATACAATTGAAATGTAAAAGAGATATTTTACAAGTAAACGGGTAGCTCACTTCACTCTTTGTATATGAGACTACTTCACTCACACACACACCTCTCTCAAGGAAGCACTCATGTTGGCTCTATCCCTTGAAAATCAACGTGTTGACCGTGTTGCCCTTAGGTTGACATCTTTGACTATCTAGCTCTGAGAATTGATCTGCAAAATAATCGCTAAAACGAACTAAGAATATATTAGAGGCTCGAGACGCGTCAGACGCTGTCATAAGGAATTATTTCCGGCGTACGGAAATTTCCCCCAAGATATAACGAGCCCTTCGGTTATAAAACCGGCACCAGAACTAACGAGAAGAAAATAATATATGAACCCAGTAATAAAAGTGTATTGTTTATTTGTCGTACGTATACTTGTATACACACATCCCCATATATGCATGCTTTATCATCTATAGAGGAAGTAAAGCATATACACACATATTAATCTATGAAGAGTAATATATTCATTTTCTCAAGATTTGAGTATGACTAGTATTTCCCTTTTCAAAATCTCTATCCGTTGTGGAGTGTGCATGGAGTATATATACTCCTTACTCCTCAAAGTAACGTTTCAATATTCAATGATATATATTAATTAAGTATAATTAATAATGATAAATGATTCCCCATGCACTCAAGCTAGCCACAAACGAACGTTTAGAAGATAAAAAGTTATTTTTACTAAAAATTAATGATATTAAATGTTACCTCAACATTATTACTAAAGAAGATCAAACCAAAACACATATAATACTCCCAATGTATTTTAACAATAATATTTTATTCATTTGAAATACTTTCAATTTTCCAACAATCCCCCACATATTTCAAATGAATAATATTAAGTATTTAAAAATATTAATTCCTTACTGGGTTTCATATATGGGGTGAGGTTTTTCAATCTGGTGTCCGTAGACTTGAACCAGACCTAGACGCCTAAGTCTTTAAATACCGAGTTTATTGGTGAAACGTATAGTTTCTATGAACCAATAATCTACTTTGGTAAGTCAGTGTCTTAGGGGATCATTTTTCACCCCCACCTTTCTCGTCGTTAACGCCGTTGTGCGCCTCTAGGCCGTGCGCGTGCTTGGTTTTCTTGAGTGCTCTAGAAGCGTTGTCAATGTTTCATGGAGGCGGCCCCACCTCACACTCATATAGGTGACTTCATCAAGTGTGTCCCGCACTTAACACACCACCCGTAAGGGCTATGACAGTCATTAAGAGTTTTAACTCAACCTCACAAAGAGATGCAGTCTAGCCTTCCACATCATAGAAATGGACATTTTACAAGGCTAGCAGAACAAATAGAAGACTTGTTATTACCCATTTGAACTTGCTTCATGGGATCTCCAATCACACAAGTTGGGTTCCCATCCCTATTTGTTGTCAAAGTGACATTAGTCCATTTCCCTCGATGTTTAAATTAATCTTTTAACGTCCTAGGGATTCTGTCAAAGGAGTAGCTAATTCCTTCACAAAATTAATGGAGTAATTCCATTCTTCAAACATCATTGCACCACTTTTAAGGATGAATGGATATTCACTATATTATCTCATGTGAGTCGACTCAGATGACGTCGTTGTATCCCGGCAATACAACGGATAACTCTCAACAAAATATAACATCGATGTGACACTTTTGTACATCGGATGATTTCACGAATATGTTATATCCTAACGGATAATTTCTCAATAAAATATATATCATCATTGTATCATTATCATACAATGGATAATTCTCATATATAAGATCATTGTACCGCTCTAGTACAATAGATTTATCTCAATAAAACATATCATCATTGGATCAATATATTTCAACGAATAATCTCAATCAAATATACCATAATGAATGGTACCTCTCAAGTATCTCAATATCTTTTTAAGGTATCTCAAATATCCATTTGGATTTCATATATTGACTCAATCTTCAATTCCAGCATTTTAAAATTATGAAATGTCACACACATTTAATTGTAACAGACTCACATTTTGGTTTTTATTTATATCAAAGTCATAAGGGATATTCACATTCTAACATTGAAATGTCAAACTTCTTAAGAAGTTTTTCAATATGATGATAGTAAAATACCAACATCCATCCTTGTGACTTTAATACTCAAAATTACTTTTATGATATTTATATATCAACTCAATATAGATGAAATAAGTATATATAAAAAAAAAATTCCAGTGACAAATAATCACCAATGCACCACTTAATGTATAAACATTTTTTCATTTTTTTTTTTTTGATCAAATTAATCTCAAAGATATTATAGTTTAAAGTATTGCATACTAGCAGATTAATTCTTCAATTTAAGAAAAACGTATATATGCTCCACTATTTCATCTTATATAAAAGCATCCAAAAGTTACAAAACTCATTTTTACTCAATGAGATAGGTAGTAAAAATTTAGCTAAGCACCCCCACAATTTTAATTATCCCAAACCAGGTGCATAACTCTTCTAAAATTCAATAATATCTATTTTATGAAGATAATTTCTAGCTCAATTTTTTATTTGCACACCAAGATAAATTTAAAGAACATATTAGAATTTAGTGTATATAAAAAAATCATCATTATAATGTATATAACATCATCATACCATTATAGTACGAAGGATAACACTCAAATATAACATCGTCGTATCACTTCAGTACAACGGGTAATTCTCGATAAAATGTGTCATCGTTATACTCATTTAGTACAACGGAAAACTTTATAAAATATATATAACATCATTGTATCGTAATAATACAATGGATAATTCTCAATAAATTATTCCATCATTGTATTTCTTTAATACAATGGTTTAGCTCACCAAATACATTTTTGTGTTTTCGATTTCATCTCAATCTTCCGACAATTTTGCCGGATCTCACACAGTGTGTTAAGTTTAATGGATTCACACTTTGAGCATCAAGATAAATTTCTATAAAATGAACAACATCATACTACAAAATTATTCCTAAATCCAATTCAACATATCTCCGCACTCAATTAATAATAAAAAGTGACACATAATATTTGCATCCACAATTTTTGAATTTCACCACAAATCAATTAATACCCAATATAATATACAAGTACAACGCATCTAAAAGCACAAGCACACCGCACACATGCACAATAATTATTGTACCTCAAATACCCCCACATTTTTCAATTTATAAAATTAGATGCAAAGACTTATCACATGATGAAAAATATTTTACAAAAAAAAGTCTATGATATACGAAGTATATGGTACAATATAAAATCAATCATTTCCAAGCATATCCCAACGTAGGAGATCATGCATACACAATAAGCTCCATTTTTTTTAATCACCTTTAAACTCAGTCAAAGTTAAAACAGCCATAAGATACTAAATACCGGACCGTTAAATCTAATCAGGTGCAGTAGCATATGATTCCTTTTTTTTTTTCCTGTGTAAGAATCAAACCTACAATTGTTTAGAAACTATAGATCACAATAGACCTTCTAACTTATACTCCGTATACACAAATGAAAAACTAGGCTAAAACCAATCTTCTGCCCCAAGAATTTGAGAAGGCAAAAAAAAAAAAAAACTATTCTATGCCCAAATAGATGTAAATATATATATACACACCACATATACACATACGATAGAGTTCGGCAAATAAAATTACCAGGAATACTTTTTGAGAAAGAATATTTATAACGGGAATAGTTATAAACACATACCGCAAATTTGATCATTTAGTGGGAGCTAGAATTTTCATTGCTTGTCTCAATTCAAGGAGAGTTTCACACACGTTGATAATTCCATAGGTGTAATCTTTATTCGCCATAATTCCTTAGATTGTTGGCTCTATCCCTTGAAAATCAACGTGTTGACCGTGTTGCCCTTAGGTTGACATCTTTGACTATCTAGCTCTGAGAATTGATCTGCAAAATAATCGCTAAAACGAACTAAGAATATATTAGAGGCTCGAGACGCGTCAGACGCTGTCATAAGGAATTATTTCCGGCGTACGGAAATTTCCCCCAAGATATAACGAGCCCTTCGGTTATAAAACCGGCACCAGAACTAACGAGAAGAAAATAATATATGAACCCAGTAATAAAAGTGTATTGTTTATTTGTCGTACGTATACTTGTATACACACATCCCCATATATGCATGCTTTATCATCTATAGAGGAAGTAAAGCATATACACACATATTAATCTATGAAGAGTAATATATTCATTTTCTCAAGATTTGAGTATGACTAGTATTTCCCTTTTCAAAATCTCTATCCGTTGTGGAGTGTGCATGGAGTATATATACTCCTTACTCCTCAAAGTAACGTTTCAATATTCAATGATATATATTAATTAAGTATAATTAATAATGATAAATGATTCCCCATGCACTCAAGCTAGCCACAAACGAACGTTTAGAAGATAAAAAGTTATTTTTACTAAAAATTAATGATATTAAATGTTACCTCAACATTATTACTAAAGAAGATCAAACCAAAACACATATAATACTCCCAATGTATTTTAACAATAATATTTTATTCATTTGAAATACTTTCAATTTTCCAACAACTCACTCACTCAAGAGCTCTCCTCAAAGCTCTCTCTCATCACTTGAGGAGACTCTCTCTAGGCTCTCTCTCTAGGTCCTCACATGGCTCTCTCACTAGAAATGAGGAGTGTCACCCCTATTTATACTAATCTCCTCAAGCTCCTCTAGAACTCTCTATACTTCTAGATTCTTCCAAGAAGTGACCACAGGCTTCTCTATTCTTCTAGAAGGATTTAAAGAACTCCACATTGCTCCAGGATATTCTAGAGGCTTCTACACACTTCCGCACGATTCTAGAGAATTCCACACTTCTCTAGAAAGCTCCATGATGTTCTAGAATATTCTACACTCTTCACACGCTTCTAGACAATTCCACGTCTCTCTAGAAAGCTCCAGAATATTCTAAAACATTCAATACTTCTCTACACATATCTAGAGAATTCTAGACATCACCGCAATATTCTAGAATTCTCATTAAATTCTCAATTAAGGAGGGATCCCAACAAATCTCCCCTTACCGACTTAAGTGAGAAGTAACAACCTACCACCAATGAGAGCCTCACATTTAGACTCAACAATCTCCACCTCACATGTGAGTTGCTCCCCCTCAAACAATGCTTGTATCACACCATATGAGCAGCTACAAGGAATGGTCATGATCTCCTCCGCAGCAAGAAATAATCCACTAAACTATCTTGTACCGCCGTTATCTACTAACAGGACACGCCGCCTGATGACCTCATTATTAGGAAGACTTTCGATACAACGCATCAATAGTAGATCAAATCGCAAGACCAAACCCTATATGTGATGTTCTCAAGAAGATCTCCTCTCCGCCAACACTTGACCTGCAATTCTTCTTGTACCGCCGTTGTTTACAAACGGGACATGCCGCCTGACCACCACAATATCAGGAAGACTTTCGATACAATGCACCACAAACAGACCAAGATATGAGACCAGTCTGAGAACCACCCCCACAATACATCTCATCACTCTGCTCCATATGTGTAAGACCCAAGCTCCATAGTGAAGTCCAACATCCCATCAAAGAGCATGATCTCGAATGCCTCTACAAACACTGCTACCATTATGGTAACACGGAATCTATCCCCACGACGAATTCCAACCGTTACTCTACCTCCAACAACCTTGGCTCTGATACCACTATTTACCAATTGAGAAGTTAATGAGAATTCTAGAATATTGCTCTAATGAGAATTCTAGAATATTGCTAGAGGATGATATTGTTAGATTGAATCTTTGTGTTACGAGTGGGTGGGTAAATGTACAAGAGTCCTTTGAGCTGGTGATCCTGGAAGAGGTCGGGGGTCGTGTTTTCCCCAACAAATAAGGTCACGTACTAACAAAAAGGGTCAAATAAAGCCTTATTTATGAGGCTCTGTCCGGCCTTCGCCATTTGGGGTGGTTCTCGGTGGAATTTTTTGATGAAATATTTTGATCATCTTATTCATTAAGTCTAGTTTACTCATACCAAATTTCAGCTAACAATTCAATCGGAAAAGCATTCAAATGAATTCTTGAAGATAACTGCGCTTTTAACTGCGCAGTTATCTTCAAGAATTCATTTGAATGTCTTCTCGATTGAAGTTTTAGCTGAAATTTGGTATGAGTAAACTAGACTTACTGAATAAGATGCTCAAAAAATTTCATCAAAAACTTCCAGTGGAAAACACCCCAAATGGCGACGGCCGGACAGAGCCTCTTAAAGAAGACCTTATTTGACTTTTTTTGGTTAGTACGTGGCCTTATTTGCACCTTTTCTCTTTCTGTTCCTATACTATATTATATCCACCGACATTATCAACTTTATATTGGGCGTAGAATAAGAAAACTAAAAATCCTGTGATTGATGATTGTGCAGAGGAAATAGAGTTAATTAGCCGAACCACACATTCATTACTTTTAAAAGAGAGTGAGGAAGTTTTTGGGATAAATGAAGAAGCAAAGTGGTTAAGTTAGGCCTGGGACCGGTTCGGTTCCTAGGTGAAATATGTGGAACCGTTTGAAAATATGAAATTTTACTAACGGCTCGGTTCTTATAAATTATTTTGTAGAACCGATAAGGAACCGAACCGTTCTTAACGGTTCGGTTCTTGTCATTTAACGGTTCCTAGTATTTAAAAAAAAATCTTACAAATCACGGTTAAATTTGTGTCAAAAATACATTCAACGCCTGAAATTACAATACAAATATGTTGAATTTCATTTCAAACCTCAAAAGTTGAGTTTAAAAGATAAATACATAACAAACTGCAAATTTTAGAAAACAAAAACAAAACAAGATATTCGGTAAAGAAGCCCAATAAAACCAGTTAAATGAAAAATAATTTCAAATAGTTAAATAACTAAACTAAAATAGTGAATGTAATATGAAATAAATAAGTAAATATACATTAAAATACATATACTAATAAGAAATATATATAATTTTAATTATTATATATAACGGTTCTTTAACGGTTCCACGTACATATTTTTTACAGGAACCGAGAACCGAACCGTTAATAAAAAGTAGGAACCGAACCATTAACAAATAACTAATAAATTTTGGAACCGAACCGAACCGGGTCATAACGGTTCGGTCCGGTTCGGTTCTCCGGTTCTTGGTTCCAAAGTCCCAGCCCTAGGTTAAGTTATAGGAACAAATGAAATAGGGATGTGAGTAAAGTCCAACGGAACATGAGAGTGTAAAAAATTGTTCTTGGTGTTAACAAAAAATTGTACTCCCTCCGTCCCAATTTGTTTTGCAAAATCAACAATTTTTGGTCAACCAATAATAAAAGTCAACCCTCCGTATAGATAATTAATTCAATTTTTAATAATTAAAATTTACATATTCAAAAACTACATTAAAATCTCTTCAAAGTTGTAACCTCCAAATTAGAATATAATTTAAAATTGACCTCCTAATTAAGTGAACAAAACAAGACTGTTTGACTAAGAAAAGTCAAATTTGCAACTCTTTTTGGGACGGAGGTAGTACATTTTTTGTGTACTCTCCTGCGTATACAGACAATTGTTGATTTTTTCTAGACGAACTGACTATGTGCACATGCAACTAGGGGTGTACATAGTACACCTACCTCTAATTTTTTTAGTACAAATCATTTGTTGAAGTCCCACACCGGTAATTAAGAACTAATAAAGTGATATACTTCGTATTAAGATCTAGATTACTTCTCCTATCAGGTTGATCTTTTAGAATATAAATTCAGATCTTAACATGATTTTAGAGCTAAAATGGTCCATAACGAAAAATGAGGACACGATCATAAAAAAATGATGAACCAACGAAAAAATGAATGACGACACGTTTCAGTTCAATGAAGTGTCTCATATATGAAGATCTGCGCTCCTCCACTTATTGAAGATTAAATCTTAACATCATCACTTTCATCTTTCCCATCTTTAACTAAACTACTATTCATTTCTCATCGTCATCACACTATTCATTTCTCACAATTGACACTCCTAAGTATTCAATTTAAAGTTTCTAAATCTCATGCGCACACATATATTATACGTAGTATGTATTTAGTAGGGAGTATTATTTTTGAACTAAAGTTTGATTGATGAAGCATGAAGGTTGAATTGTGCTTAAATGGTAAAACAGGAGGACACACAATTGGAAAGGCAAGGTGTTTGACTTTTAGGCCTCGCCTTTACAGGGAGGGCAATATTAACGAGTCCTTTGCCAGTAATCTCAAGGAGATTTGTCCTTCTAGTCCGGGAAATGGGGATGTGAATTTGGCCCCTTTTGACCTTCAAACTCCAGAGGCCTTCGACAACAAGTACTACGGTAACCTCATCAACCAGACCGGACTTCTTCACACTGATCAACTGCTCTTCGGTGGTGGGGACAAAAACGTTGATGAATTGGTTAAACAATACAGCCAGAACCAGACCCAGTTCTTCCTTGATTTTGCCATTGCGATTGTCAAGATGGGAGATGTTGGGGTCTTAACCGGATCGGCAGGTGAGATCAGGAAGAATTGCAGAAGGCCTAATAAATAATTCATTCACTATACAAATCATGACCACCTGCACCGCTTTCATCCTATGTAGCACGAAAACACTCCGGAAGGAATACGTTTTCGTTTAAAAAACTCTATGAACTTTTTAGAAATTCTCCAAACAATTGTTTTTCTACAAATATTTCCGTTTTCCCGTGTTTCCCACGTTTCCGTGCAATATAGCAGTTTCATCATTTTTTTTCTTGTACTAATTAAGAGTCATTGGGTTTATCCATGTTGAATTTGGTCAGTCTGTCATTTATGTATGCTGCGGCCTAGCTACTCGCTGCATGTTTGTTTCTTGATTCTACTCTTATTGCCTTCAACCGGCCGGGGCAGGTACCATTTTATGTGGTTCTGTTAGTTAATTCTATCTTAACCTTTGGCCAATTAATTGGTTTACAGATGCCAAGATCTAAAGTTTCACTTTTATATCTTCTTCTCGGTTTGACTTGGATAACAGTTTAAGGAAATAAGAATAAAGCAGAAATGTATGATTGTGGTTGAATCACAAAAATAATTGAATGTTAGCTAATGGAGGTTAATTCAAATGCAAGAGCTAATTGACGCAAATAAAGTATTTTGGCAACATAAAACAAAAAAAAATCTTTTGGAGACCTGATGCCTATTAGGGCACATATAAGTACTTATAGACATCAAGCTACGGTAGCCTAAAGAGATATAATTGGTACATTGAATATGTCTAATCATGAGAGGACTCTTCTAACGTATCTCATAACTCTGCATTTATTAGGGGTGGGCGCGGTCCGGAACGGTCCGGAAATTAGCAAACCCCGTAATGTACCCGTGAGGTTTCTAACGGTTCGATTCGGTACGGGTCTAAGGATGGAACCATTCGGTATCATGTCATTTTGGAACGGTACGAAACGGTTCGGTACAATGCCAAACACATGCCCAAACATTTAGACAAATCTTGCAATTAGTATGTATCATCACACCGGCCAACTCACATGAAATGTTGATAAAAATACAAGAAAGTGCATACTAAATAATAGAATAGATTCAAGAGGTTGACATTTTTGTATTTAAATCCACAAATAATCAAATAGTGCAACACATGTGAAAATATAAAAACAATATCATTAAATTGTTGAATATAATAGAAAAGTTTAACGTAAATATTAATTCATAGTTCAACCGTAAGAGCTAAGATTCAGACCATATTAATTAAGTTGTAATACTACACAAATATGATACAACAAAAAGGCATATACTCTACATTACTATAAATTAATAGTCATTAATGACTTTTAAAACTTTAGCATTCTTTCATTATATATATACACGAAATATAACATAAATTATCTAAAAGAAAAAAGTAACAATATTTATATAACACACACATGTAGCTATTTTAGGGATGCATGAATACATACTTGGGCTATAAAATTTTTTATCTATAAAAGATATTTCTTGATATTGAAAAATATAAAAATCTCAAAGGCATTATTTTTGAACGGTTCGGTCCGGTATTTTTCGGTTCTCAAAATCTAGGACCAGTCCCATACCCATTTGAAACAGTATGGTTTCGGTTTGAGATTAAATTATATAGAACCCTTTAAATACCCGATATTCGGTTCGGTACCATTTAGGGCCGGTTCCGTACCGGTTCGGTTCGGTTTTTATGCCCACCCCTAGCATTTATTACTCTTTTACTCTACTACAGAGTATATGCTAAGGATGACATGCCACGTAAGTCCTAGGGTGAGTCTGACCTCACTAGAATCCTGCTCAGGCTTGAGGCCTGCTGATCAGGTTTGCCTGGATGTGGGTTCCTTTCGTGACTCATGATTCCTTGTTAGGCGCAGTTGGCTTTAATAATTAATTAGTCCCGATTAATGGGCTTGGTTTATTAATCCCGTGTAATGGACTTTTGCTCATGATTCATAATTGGGCTATAGTCGCAGTCCATATATAAGCCGAACCTTCTACTCTCTAAATAAACCGAGCTTGTTTTTGAGAGAGTCACGAATTCCTATTTGAATTTTTCCCACGAAATGGAGCGCCGTTTGCATTTAATCCTGGCCAGCAACTCTGACATTGTTGTAATTTCCGTTTGTGTAATTGCACTTTCCTTTGGTACCGCTTTATGCTCATTTTAAAATGTTGCACATTTCGATCGTATCATACTACATTAGATTCACATACTGAAATTAATTGGAATGGATTACAGACATAATTTAAGAACTTTTTATTTGCGAAAAAATAATAAAAAATAAGGGAAAATTAATAAAAATACCCCAAACTTTGAAGGGGTGTGATGTTAACACCCCAAACTTTAAATACCCTAAACTTTAAATAAAAACTTATTTTTGCACCATTATTGTCATGTAAATTTATGGGGTTAATTGCATAATTTAAAATAGAAAATTAAAAGTGTTGCAAATATAGATTGAGGGTAACATTATCTATTTCTTAATGAAAGTTTAGAATATTAATTGTGTCTTCATGAATTCTAAAATATTTCTAAATTATGCAATTAACACCATAAACTTACATTTTTGAAAGAAATAATACTTAGCTTGATTATGGTGCTAAAATAACTTTTTATACAAAGTTTGGAGTATTTAAATTACATATGCAAGTTTGGGGTGTTCATCTCACACCCCTTCAAAGTTTGGGGTATTTTATTTATTTTTTTCCTAAAAATAAAGTGAATTAGAAGATATGAAGCAGAGACAATGATGCTCATTCTTAGGCTCATAATACTCAAAAGAACAAGCTTGGTGCGCACAAAAATTGCAGTAATGCTCAATCAAGAGAAGTCGTATTTTCACTAGAATTACAAAATTGCCACCGATTGTACGACAAATATGACACTGTGCAACCACTTGTAATACGCTTCCGTGTATCGGTAGGTGCATTATATGGCAATTGCCTTGTAGAGTGAAGGGTGCGACTTCATTCTTATATCTTACGTAGTGTGTTTTTATAAAACATTTATGTGGAAATTTCACTTTGCACCTCACTTTTTGGATGATATTGGACTTTGCACCCCATTTTAGAAAAACTTTGATTTTGCACCCCATTCGACTTAAAATTTCTTTGACTTTGACACCACATTTAGAAATTTTTCTTCACAAAATGTTGTGTGTTGGGGTGCAAAATCAAAGTTTTTCAAAATGGGATGCAAAGTCCAATATCACCAAAAAAAATTGGGTGCAGAGTCAAATTCCCCCGAAATTTATTCATAAACCAAATGTTACTTTTATGATACACTGAATTCGGCCGTATAAAAAATTCTAATTCTAATTCAGAATTAATGGAGACTAGTGCATGACTACAATTGTCCGTATGAATTTGTAAATTGTTATGTTAAAACTATTTTTAATCTATACGTAATATATAAAGTCGTAACAAATACTCCGTAATAATTACTAGTATATTTTATGACTAAAATAAAGATTATTTGTAAAAAAGTGACTAGTGTGTGGCTATAATTTAATAATAGTAACTTAATTATATTAACTCATGTTCATTTTTTAAATTTAAGAGAGACTCTATATTGTAATAATTATTAGTCATATTTAGATAAAATAAATTCTATTTTAATACGTAGTAATATTTTTGAAAAAAACTCCGTAATAATGCTCATAAACACTGATCCACAAAAACAAAAAACAAAACACGGATCCACAAATATAGAGTGCTGTTGAAAATTTGCCATAATGAATGTTTTTATCCGACACTTGACTACTGTGTTTTTCCCTAATAAAAACATTGCTTAATATTTTCAAACTTCCTTTTCAAAGTTGAGAAGTGGAGATCTACAAACATGGATAACAAGAATAATCTAATGGAGCCAAATATGCAAGAAAACATGCAAGAATCCAACATCGTCAATAAAATACTTGACGATGTTGGCAGATCTTCTTGGCTATCCATATTTTAGACTTTAATCTCTTTTTCTTTTCCTAATGAGTCAGGCCTAGCCCCTCATTAGAATTTATGTCTTTTTATTCTTGAAATTTCCTTATTGGAGAGGTATTGGCATGGACCCCCTCTTCTGTATCCTTTTTCTATTTTTTAATAAAATCCGGTAAATGTTCCCCGGCATTTACCCCACTGATTTAGGTGGTGTGCCTACCGGGTTTAAAAAAAAAAAAAAAATCCAACATCGTCAATATATTCAGCCTTCAAAATTTTATTAATTAATGCCTTTCTGTTATTATTAAACATCAATTTTGTCAATTATTTGCGAATAATTCGGATTATAAGTCAAACACTTCAATGCAAAAATAAATAAACTTGGAAGTTGATTTACTCGTTGAAAAAAATAGCTGGGAAAAAAATTATGTTAACAATGATGTCTTAATTTTAGCACTTGAACAAAAGTTTTGAATGTTGGAATAATTCGGCCGGATAAACCCGCAAAAAGCGTTAGAAAAATAATATAGCTCGAGTCGCGTAAACGCTGTCCTCAAGAAAGTATTTCCGTCTAGCGAAAATCTTTCCCCAAGATAAAACGAGCTCTTCGGTGTAAGCCGGTAACAGAACAACGAGAGTGAAATAAAATAATCCAGCAGAGTTGTAATATGTTAGGGGATCTTCTACTCAATAACTAATAATAATATTACTTACTATTTGAGAATCCTGCTTCCTAACACTACCCTAACATATTTTTTAAGCAGGATTCTCAAATAGTAAGTAATACTACTATTAGTTATTGAGTAGAAGATCCCTTAACATATTACAACTCTGCTGGATTATTTTATTTCACTCTCGTTGTTCTGTTACCGGCTTACGCCGAAGAGCTCGTTTTATCTTGGGGAAAGATTTTCGCTAGTCGGAAATACTTTCTTGAGGACAGCGTTTACGTGACTCGAGCTATATTATTTTTCTAACGCTTTTTGCGGGTTTATCCGGCCGAATTATTCCAACATTCAAAACTTTTGTTCAAGTGCTAAAATTAAGACATCATTGTTAACATAATTTTTTTCCCAGCTATTTTTTTCAACGAGTAAATCAACTTCCAAGTTTATTTATTTTTGCATTGAAGTGTTTGACTTATAATCCGAACTATTCGCAAATAATTGACAAAATTGATGTTTAATAATAACAGAAAGGCATTAATTAATAAAATTTTGAAGGCTGAATATATTGACGATGTTGGATTCTTGCATGTTTTCTTGCATATTTGGCTCCATTAGATTATTCTTGTTATCCATGTTTGTAGATCTCCACTTCTCAACTTTGAAAAGGAAGTTTGAAAATATTAAGCAATGTTTTTATTAGGGAAAAACACTAGGGCTGGGACCGGTTCGGTTCTTACTCAAAATGAGTGGAACCGTTATAAAAACTTTAACTAATGAAATCGGTTCGGTTCCTATATAAAAAATCAAGAACCGTTATGGAACCGAACCGGTAGTAAACGGTTCGGTTCTTCCTTTTACCGGTTCCTAGAATATTTTTTTCTCGT